GTAACGGGGCGCCGAAATTCGGCCAGGGAAAGGAGAGAGAAATCAGGCTGAGGACAAGAACTGCGGAACAGAACGCCGCTCGGAGGACGCTCGCTCTCCCCCCCCGGCCCCCAGCTCTCCCCCCTCGCACCCCCCACAGCTCTCACCTGCACTGCCCTGCACTGAGAGGCTTCAGAGATCCTAGCAGCTAGCACTGTGAGCTACTTTGGTAGAAGTGTAAAAGTTTGTGTCCAAAAACAAGCACAGGCTGAAAGCAGGCCAAGAGCAAGGCACAGCCAGATTCAGTTCTGTGTGTCCACCTGCACACTGAGTTGCAGCTGCTGCAGTTGTGTGTACCCTTTATCTGTTGCTGGATGCTGAGAGCAAACCCAGACCTCATAAAAAGAAAACTGTCACTACCATTACGATACTGTGCATGCAGATGAAGCTTGATTCAAGTATGGCAGTGAAGTCTTCTGACTGACCTGTCCCCACTAGTTAGGAGTTGCGTTTGCTTGCTTAAATACAGTAAGCTGTTCTCACTTATGGTATGTCCTTTGCCATAAACATCCCTCTGACAAAATGGTTGTTTTGACATCATCCTCTAGTGGCTAGGATGACCAAGCCTTGGAGAAATACAGCACCTCCCCCAGAGCTGTGATGGCCGTGCTACTGCTTGCTGATCCTCCCTCTGATCTGTGCTTTTCCTTTACAGGACACAGTTCTTAATTGTGGCCCAAGTCCCTGTGGAACGTTTGCTCACCTGCACTGCATTTTGCTTTGCATAGTTTAGAGGAAATTAACCAGCAAGACTTCAGGGCTGAGCTTTAAGAATGGAAACATACTCAGCTGCTTGAAAGAGACCAAGTTTCTAAGGTCTGTGTCAGCCTGGGAAATCCACCCTCTGTGGCCAAATGCAAATTGCAGCACAATCCCAGGAGCCCCCAGGAATGGAAATCATAGCCCTGGCAGGTCAGGATGCAAAGCCAGCTTTCAGAAAACTGTTTTTCAGCAGCAGAGAGTTCATGCTGAATTCTGTGCTTGGTTGATCTGAACAGATCTTTATACTATGATGAGCAAACCACACTGTCTACCAAATGATGTCCAAATCTTCTTTCTCACCCTTTGCTTCCCTTTCCTGCATGTGAAGAAGCAGCCCGCTGATCATCGGGGGCTCAGTTTGCCATCAGGGAGTGTCAGCAGTTACCTGAAAGCTTCGTTGGCTGTCAGAGGGCTCCATTGATCATCAGAGATCTTCACTGAGGTCAGAGGGCTTCGCTAATCAACAGAGGGTGTCATCAGTCATCAGAGAGGAGATTTGAGGTGCCTGAGGGAGGGGATCTGGGGACTCCATACTGGGTAATGATGGGGCGGAACTGGGACTGAAGGAAGAGAGCTAAAGCAGATCCCAGTGAGGGGCAACTGTCTGAGAAAGGGAGGGGGTAAAAGGAGAGTGACCTGGGGACATCGTGGCCATGGAGAAGGTGGACCAAAGGCTGAAGGGTTTGGGAGGAACTGGAAGGAGGAATTGGGAGAGAGCAGAGGGAGGATACTGGGGCTGCTTGGTGGCATGGGGAGCTCCGTCCTTTATGATTTTGGAGCAGAGGGGATGGAGAGGCCCATGGGTGCAGGATGTGGGGTGCAGGGCATGGAGCTGGGGACCCTCCCAGCACTTAGGGGTGGCCTCTGCCAGGCAGGGACAGACACGAGTGGTCCCTGCTGAGCATGGGGATGAGGACACAAACACACAGAGCATGGCTTTGCTGAGGGCTTTATTGGTCATTGGCAGATGTCAGAGATCATCAGGGTCCTTCATTGGTCTTCAGAGGACTCCACTGGTCAGCAGAGAATGTCAAAAGGGGAAACGGCTGGAAACTGCAGCATAGGAAGTTCCGCACAAACATGTGCAAGAACTTCTTTACAGTGAGGTGACGGAGCACTGGAACAGGCTGCCCAGGGAGGTGGTGGAGTCTCCTTCTCTGGAGATGTTCAAGACCTGCCTGGATGCCGACCTGTGCGACCTGCTGTAGGGAACCTGCTTTGGCAGGGGGTTGGACTCGATGATCTCTGGAGGTCCCTTCCAACCCCTACAATTCTGTGATTCTGTGAAAAGCTGTCACAGAGCAAGGAAAAGCCTTGTCCCTGCAGGGTTTGTGCCCCAAGACTTTGGGCAGGAGGAGGGCTAGCAGCAGCCCAGGGCAGGACGTTGGTCGCTGGGGGCAGCAACCACAGCCCGTCCCATCTGCACAGTGGCCCTGGGCCATCCCTAGGACACCTTGAGACCCTCCTCCTCTGCACAGCTGTCTAAAGCATGAGGGAGGGTCTGGGGGTGGCAATGGTCCCCCCCTGGAACGAAGCAGGGATGGTGCCCTCCATCCCATCCATTCACAGGCCCTGACACTCAGGGCTACAGAGATCCCCGGGGTCCCTCAGTGTCCCTGTTCCAGTGCCACCCTTATTGCAACAGACTTCTTCCTTAAGTCCAGTCTGAAGACTCTTTCCCCTTCTTTTTTACAGGCCCCCTCAAGATACCAAAGGCCCCAGTCTCTTCTCCAGGCTGCCAAATTCGATGCACATCAAGAAATGCTTCATAAAGACAAGACAGTGGAACTATAAAGACTAGAATGTCTTTAACCTCAACAAAATAATTTCAAACGTCAGATGGACTCTGATATAGAAGCTTGTTATGTGAGAGCAAATCTGACTGCGGGGAAAAGCAAAACCCTATTGTGCTGGTGACTTTGGTAAGTAAAGTGCAGAAAATACAACAGACATAATGTGTCCTGATTAAAAAACAACAACAACAAAAAAAAACACAGAAAATGGCAGGTGCCTGTATCAGATGTCCGTGCCTGCAGAGGATATTCCAGAAGATGAAGGCAGCAAAATCTTATGCTCACACTGCATTACAGGAGCAGAAAACTACCGGGAAGCTCTAGGCTCATCCTGGGAAGGTAAAACTGCACAGAGATGCCCCAGATGTGTTTGGCAGCGCCCTGCCAAACTCAGATTTCCTGTCTGCAGCTCACCACCACCAGCGCCTGCAGCCATTTTCCCTTCCCCTTTTCCCCCAGTCCAGCACTCATAATAAACTGGACGTGCTGACATCTAGTATTTGTGTATGTATCTCGCCATCAGGTGTACATAGACTAGCATATCCTCTCGCTCTCATTATGCGAGCGTTCTGGTGCCATCTCCTTGAAGAGGGATGATAAGGATTCTCCCAAGACTCCTTGGCTCTGACAGACAGGGTCAGGTCATATTCCTCTGAGATCCTTATTTTCCAATGCGGTGCTCTCTTCCAATGACACACAGTGCAGAGCAAAGCCCACAATTTTGCAGCATGTGAAAGGTGTAGCTAAGTGTGAGGCCATAGAGGAGACTTTTTCCTTCCAACTCACTGTCCTTTAGATCCCTAGTGGAAATAGAAGAATATTAAAATACTATAATTATGAAATAAACGAGAGAGTTTGACAAAGCAGACTATGATAACAAAGAGAACAAATAGAAGGCTTACCCCTATCCAAAGCTCACTCACAAAACTCCACCAAGACCAATCTCCAGAAGAGCTCCTTCCCCACTGGCAGCCAGCTCTGAAATAGGTCTAGGAGGGGTGGAGCCAGGCAGCACAGCTGAATTGCCTTCACTGTGCTCCTCTGGCTGACTCATGGCCCGCCTCAGGTGATCAATCAGAGGTTCAGGCCGTGACTTAGCAGTTCCCATACACACACCTAAACATTTCCTGAATGCCTCCAGGGAATCTGACTGCAGTCCCTCCCTGGGCAGTCTGTCCAGGGCCCAACCACTTTTTTGGAGGCGTTTTTCCTAATGTCCAGACTGAAAGAACTCTTGTTGCTCTCAAGGTTCTTTTATTTCTTCACAAAGCTGTTTCAAAATCTTCATCAGGGAAGGGAGCACGTGAACCTAATGAGATTCAGCAAGGTCAAGTGTAGGGTGTTGCACCTGGGTCAGGGCAACCCCAGATATCTGTGCAGGCTGGGAGAAGAACTCATTGAGGGCATCCCTGCTGAGAAGGACTTCAGCATCCTGGCAGATGAAAAACTTCACCTGAGCCAGCAGTGAGAGCTGGGCTTGTTCAGTCTGGAGAATACTCTGGGGAAACCTGATGTGGCCTTCCAGTAATTAAGGAACTTATAAGCAGGAGGGAAGTCAGCTTTTAACATAGGAAGAGAGCAACAGAGCAAAGGGGAACAGTTTTAAACAAAAAGAGTGGAATTTAGTTTAGATATCAGACAGAAATTTATCAGTGAGAGGGTGATGAGGTGCTGGAACAGCTGCCTAGAGAGGCTGTGGATGCCCCGTCCATACCTTGAGGTGTTCAAAGCCAGGCTGGATGGGGCCCTGGGCAGCCTGGGCTGGTATGAAAAGAGGTTGGTGGCCCTGCATGAGGCAGGGTGTTGGAGATTTGTGATCTTTGAGGTGCCTTCCAAACCTGGCCATTCTTTGATGCCATGATTCTGATTCTAAGGTTCTGTATCTTCTGGCATTGGGATGCTAACAAACAGAATCGATAGGTCCAGAGCACAAACTGGGAAATTTTCCAGAGCATGGCACACAGCAGGCACCCAGTGAGATGCACGACCCTCTCCTGTCTTTCCTGCTGGTACAGGTCATGGCCTTCAGGGTGTCAACTGGCAGGAAGTTTTCTAGAACAATAATCATAGGAAAACAAGTTGGAAAAGGAAGTGATGAAGAGACTCACAGATGTTCACAGGACTTTTTCTGTATAGGAAGGTTCCTCTTCGGAGGAAGTAAGGCCTCCTACTTATTCCCGTGGAAACTACAACAGATACAAAGAGCCCAATAACAATGTTTGATAAAGCAAATTCTCAGCTACCAAACCTGTTTCTCAACACAGTCAGCTTTGCATTTCAGCTTTGCATTTTCACCAGCTCGTAACAATCTGCACCGGGGGGTAACCTGCTGTCACTGTCACCAAAGATGAAACGCAACGCTCACAGCCCCGCTGTGCTCACATCCACTACTGTGTCTCGAGAAACATTCAACAAGGGTCAGTGAATGTCAGCGGGTGCCATTTTTTCATTTCCCTTCTGCAGTGTGAGGAGGTTTGATTGGGCAGGACCAGCACAGTGGGCAGATCACCGAGCATTGACTGCCCAGGCGGCTTTTCCTACACGTGGGTCCCAACATTTGAATGTCTCAGCACCCATTGCTCTCGGTGTAGCTGTTCACAGTCCACTGTACTGTTTGGTTTTCCCAGAGGCTGTGCATGATAGGGAATGTGGGGCACTGCCAGGCTGTGAGAAGCGGCAGCTGACCGTGACTATTAGGGAGGAATAATTGCATGCACCGGTACAGGCTGGGGGATGAGCTGCTGGAGAGCTCTGCGGAAAGGGACCTGGGCGTCCTTGGTTCTTGCTTTGCTCAAATCATCAGCAGCTGAACCTGAAGTCATTCCTGGCGGCACGGATGCGGCCTGTGTTCGCCGCTCTCCTGGAAGGCCCGCACAGAGTGTTTGCTGACGACACCAAGCTGATTGCTGACGACACCAAGCTGAGTGGTGCGGTTGATACGGTGGAAGGAAGGGATGCCATTCAGAGGGACCTCGACAGGCTGGAGGGCTGGGCTCGAGTGAACCTAATGAGGTTCAACACGGCAAAGTGCAAGGTTTTGCATTTGGGCCGGAAGAACCCCAAGCACCCGTACAGGCTGGGAGGAGTGGTCCTTGAGAGCAGCTCAGCAGAGAAGAACCTCGGGGTCCTGATGGATGAGAGACTTAACATGAGCCAGCAGTGCGCTCTGGCAGCTCAAAAGGCAAATGGGATCCTGGGCTCCATCAGGAGAGGGGTGGTCAGCAGGGAGAGGGAGGTGATTGTCCCTCTCTACTCGGCTCTTGTGAGGCCCCATCTGGAGTACTGTGTCCAGGTGTGGAGCCCTCAGTACAAGAAAGACACTGAGATTTTGGAAAGGGTCCAGAGGAGGGCGACTAAGATGATCAGGGGGCTGGAGCACCTCCCCTATGAGGACAGGCTGAGGGAGTTGGGCTTGTTCAGCCTGGAGAAGAGAAGGCTGCGGGGTGACCTCAGTGCAGCCTATCAATACCTGAAGGGAACCTACACCCAGGAGGGGAGTCAACTCTTCAAAAGGGCTGACAATAGCAGGACAAGGGGAAATGGATCCAAGTTGAAGGAGGGAAGATTTAGGTTGGATGTTAGGGGGAAGTTCTTTACAAGGAGAGTAGTTAGGCCCTGGAACGGGCTGCCCAGGGAGGTTGTGGATGCCCCGTCCTTGGACGTGTTCAAGGCCAGGTTGGACGGGGTCCCGGACAACCTGATCTGAATGTGTGTGTTTGGTGGCCCTGCTAGGCAGGGGGGTTGGAACTACATGATCCTTGAGGTCCCTTCCAACCCGGGTGATTCTGTGATTCTGTGATTCTGTGATTCTGAGTGTTCCCGTCCCCACGTCCCCACCCTCCTCCTCCCGTAGCCCCAGCCGGGGCCCGCCCGCCCCGGGGCCATGGAGGTGGAGTGGGCGCGCGGCGACAGGCATCGCAGCGGGCAGCCGGGCTGGGGCCATCCGGGACGCGCGGTGATGACGCAACGACGGTGCGACACGGACCGAAAGGACCCCGCGCATGGCGCCCACCCCGTTCCGCGGGCCGACCAATGGCGGCGCGGCAGAGGCGGGGCCGAGCGCGGGCTCTCAGCCAATGGCGGCCGCGGCCGCGGAGCCGCCCCGATGGTGCCGGCCAGGCGGCGGGCGAGCCGTGGTACTCCGTGAGGGGAAAGTGGTGCTCCGCTGCCCCGCGTCCCCGCCGCCGCCTGCGCCGTGCCTTGGGGACACCGGGCGCTCAGGGGAAGGCGGCGCGGGGGCCCGTCCGTCCCCCGTCGGCACCGAGCCGTCTTCCGCTGTCGCCGTTAGGATGGGAGCCAGCTGGGAACGCGGTCCCTGCAGTTCTGGCTCTTGCCGGGCATCTGCCTGGCCGCCCTCCTGGGCAACGGCCTCATCAGCACAGCCGCAGCCTGCGACCACAGCCTGCACACCCCATGCACTTCTTCCTCCTCAGCCTCGCCCAGGGCTGCATCTCCACCACTCTGCCCAAAGCCGTGGCAGGGTGCCCCGCTGTGCCAGAGCTGGCCTCCCTGGTGGAACTGTTGTAATGAAAGGGGAAATGGTATCCGAGTAAGAGAGGGGAGATTTAGATTGCATTAAAGGAAAAAGTCTTTCATGATAAGGGTGGTGAGGCAGTGGTACATGTTGCCCAGGGAGGTGGTGGAAGCTCCATCCTTGGAGGCATTCAGGGAGAGGCTGGAGCAGGCTCTGAGCATCTGATCGAGTGTAGGGGTCCCAGTTCGCTGCAGGGAGGTTGGACTAGATGACCTGTAAGGTAAACCATTCTATCATTCTGTCATTCTATGACTTACTGCATTGCTCAGTTGCCTATCAAGCCTTTAGAGGCACCCCTTGGTCCTGCCCAGCACCATCCTTGGCTGCTGATTTATCAGGGCAGATGGAGAGGGACTCAGCAGCAGAGATCCCCAGCCGGCTGAGTCTGCTTCTCCCTGGAGCAGCACAGCCAGGGAAGGTCATCCTGGGATCCAGGGCAGTGCAGCCCCCAGCTCTGCTGAGCAGCTCTGGCAACTCGTGGCCCTGCAAGGAGCACAGGGAGAAAACCAGGAGCAGCCAGCCAGGTCAGCACCAACACACTGCCCTGGGCAAGGCTCTCTGGGAACAGGGGTGGCCCTGGAGAAGGGCGTGGGAGCCTGCAGGGAGGCTCAGATGAGAAAGGGAAAGTCATTTTTGCGGGCATCTGCTGGGGGCAGGCTACTCTGTTGCTGGCACTGTGATGTTAGGACATTAGGAAGTATTACTGTTCAGAAAGGGTGGTCAGGCACTGGAACGGACTGCCCAGGGAGGTGGTGGAGTCAGCGATCCTGCGGGTGTTCAA